GTCACCTGGTAAAGAAAAGCACGCAAACAAAAATGACAATAGGGAAATCTCTTAATTTGGTTAGAGCACTCACTGGCCAGGGAAAACTGCTAAGGGAGATCCCCACCACCACCACCGAGGTAAGGGCCATCATGTGGGCACTGAGACAGTAGTCTCCTGGGCACTCACCTCCCCCATCCCCCCAAAAAAGGCACTGACCTCAACCAAAGAGAGGGAGATCAAGCCTGAACAGGTCCCAGAATCGGAGGAGTTGGCTGTCTGTGGAAGCGTCTAAGCACACAAGGGGGCTCGTGTTTGTACTGAACCCGTTTCCAGGGGACGCCCGTCTGGGAAGGTGAGATCGCTTCAGGTCCCACTTTCTGAAGGCCCCACATGTCAGCCTACAAAAACAGAAACTAGTTTAAGAAACAAAGCATTTATTTGGGATCAAAGAATTTGCAATTCGGGACGCACAGATTCAGGTAGAAACCCAAATAGCATCCTGATTACAAGAGAAGGGCTTAGGGTTTTCTTGGGGAAAAGGGAGGATGAAGCAAGTTGCATTAAAGAAGAGTTCATTGGTGCTAGATATGGTAAGGCTAGGTTCGTACTTCATAGATTGGCCTGATGTTTGGTCATCAGGCAAAAGGCTAGACTTGTACTTCATCAATTGGTTAGGAATCAGGTCATCAGCAAAGTCCAAGTTCATCGGTCCTTGCAGATGGGATATTCTTGTTCTTACTGAAATGGTGGCAGTTTGGTCCAGTTTGGAAAATAAAGAAAACAAGATGTGCAAGGCAATTCCTCTGGAATGGCAGCTCTGGCTCTGTTTTAATATGGCTTCACTCATGTCATCTTGCACAAGGAGTGAAGGAGATGCTGCTTGACAATTGTCATGGCAAGAGAGAAAGTTAGTCAGTATAAGGGGAAGCAAAGATGGGAAAGCAATAAAAAGAGAAACCTGAGTTTGGAAAATCCGAAATGCCACTCATTTTAATTTCTTTAAAGAAATCTTCGTGAGTTGTATAATTGATATTGTCTCCATCTAATAGATTTTTATAATACGTTAAGTTTTTTATTTCAATACTCACTAAAGCAGACATACATAATAATGGCATAAGAAGAAACTACTTCCTCAAGATATAGGATATATAGATATTTTATCTCCTTCTGCAAATGCTTCTCCATGCAGATTTTCCGTGACTTTGGCATACTCTCCTTTTAAAGAATAAGGTGTTTTGTTTGTTTGTGTTATCGGACATAAAGAAGAGCCACTAGAAAGCCTCAAAGCTATAACCTAAATAGGCCATCAAGCTTATATTTCTAAAGGTCAAAAACTAAGGCAATAATTTCAAGTGTCACCTGGTCCTTAAATGAGGTTTTATTGTGAAGGATTATGACATAATCCATTGACATAATAAAGCACCTATTATGTTACAGAGGCAGTTGGCTGAAATAACAGTTTTCTTGATGATCATAGTGGTGAGTTGTCTTTCACATTTTATTGCTTTCATAACTCCAGATGAATACAATTTGGTTTTTACCATCAAAATGAAATTTGTGGGAGAGGGTTAATTGCTTTCTTATGGGAGACTGTATGTAGATATGGAATTTCCATGGTAAGAATGGTGCCTGTTAGATCTTTGGGGGCATGCATGCTTGTGTGTGTGTATTTAATTTTAGTACAGGGAGTTTGATAAATATATATATATCAAGTGATATAAAAAGCCTTATTATCAAATAAGGTGGAGCCCTATTATGACTTGGTTGCTTATGATATATGCAAGATTATATCCTATGTTTGAAACTGAACTACGTATGGGAGGTGTCTTACATAATATTGCCAGATAGTTCATACAAAAGACAAAAGTTGGTCCCGTCCTATGACAATAGCAATGTAAAGCATACATTACATATGTATTTAACATGCTTTGTGTTGAAATACCTGCTTGTTACATTTTCAACCTTTTTTTTCCTCAGCGAGTCCTTGGGTTTTAGAGAAATTAAGCATTTACTTGCAGGCTCAGTGCATTTTGGCCAAATTTCTGCTTGTATCTCCCACTGACTTTCAGGCATCCCTAGGTGAGGAGAAATGCTTCCCAGCAGCAGCAAAATCTGAAGTAAGGTGACAGAGGGATCAAAGCAAGAACCAACCTGCGCAAAAAATGCACTTTATCCCTCTTCATTTCCCGTTTGCAAAAACTTCCTTTGAAGCAATCAGTCTTGGTGAAGCAATATTCAAAATCAGGTTTTAAAAGTGAAAACAGGAAGGTTGAGGTGAGGAAATTGTTGAAAGCCTAGTTTATATTTATTCAGAAGATCTACCAGTACTTTAAAACAATCTGTGTTTAACATGGCAAATTGTCTGTCATTAAAATGCTAATGAAATGGTAAACAGCTGCTAAGTTTTTTATGCTAATGAATTGTGGCAGCTAAGTAGTTCTCCAGCCTTGTCTTTATTAGCGTGGAGATTTGATTGGATAAGGTTAGATCGTTGTGCATTCTGACCTTTGTCGATGGAGCAATCTGTTTGTTAAGTTCCATGTTGCATTCTATTTGATTTGAGTTTGTTAGTACAAAGTGACTCTCACCAGGCCTTCTGGGGCCATGTATTACACAGTGTTATCAGAACCACCACTCTGGGGTTAGAGAAAGAATTTTGCTTCCCTTCGGGAGACCCACAATGGCAAAATAAGTATACATTTGTTTATCAGGCAGCTTTAAGTAGACTAATTCTGTATACTTTTTATACTCTAGATTTTTAACAATAATAATTGTAAATTGTAAAAGACCATTGGTCTAATATAAGAACTATCTGAAACTAAAATTTTAAAGTAAACTTTTAAAATAAATATTTCAATGAGTGCCTCTGCACCGTTGGACACATTGATATAATACGTCATCTTGGATCTACAAGCTCTGAAGTTAGCAGTGAATGTAATGTTACCTAATTAGAAGAATAATGTGTAATTCAATACAGGGTGGTTATGTGAATGCTAGCCTGAGAGCAGAGTGTTTACTTTGGCATGAGAAAAAACTGGCTGTTTGATCTATACTTTTGGCTGATTCTCTTTTTGCTGAGTCCTTCTCTATGTGTATCCTAACGGATGGGGCTGACCTGAAGACTTGCCATTACAGACAAACGCTTCAGACCCTTTCTCTATTTTTCTGGTTTTAGGATCAATGTAAATGAGGTACGACAGTTCATTAAACACTATTGCCAATAATGTTCTGGAATGTTTTGAAATATGATGTAAAGTTTATTAAGGAAATTCATTACCAAAAAAAATCATCGAAATAGGAATTTTAATTATTCTGGGACACCAAGTAAGAACATCTGTGGAAAATTTAAAAGTTGGAGCATTTTCCCATACTGTTCATTCCTCCTTGAAGTCAGAAGGAGATTTTAGGCATATAATTATGTGTGGTCCTATATTGCCATGCCAGGAAAAATTGGAACGCTCACACACTGCTAGTGGTAATGTAAAATAGTTCGGCTGTTTTGGAAAACAGTCTGGAAGTTCTCAAAAGGTTAAACCATATGATTACCATAGGAACCAACAATCCCCAATACCACTCTTCGGGATACACCTAAGAGAACCGAAAACGTAAATACACACAAAAACTTATGAAGAAATCTTCATAGCAGCATTATTCATAATAGCCAAAAAAGTAGAAACAACTCAAATGCCCAGCAACTGATGAATGAATAAGCAAAAACTGGTACGTCTACAATGGAATATTACTCAGCTTTAAAAAGGAATAAAGTTCTGATACATGCTACAACATGGATGAACTTTGAAAACATTGGGCTGAGTGAAAGAAGACAGTCACAAAAGACTTCATACTGTATGATTTCATTTAAACGAAATGTCCAGAATAGACAATTTACAGAGAGGGAAAGTGAATTAGTGGTTTCCAGGAGCTGAGGGTGTTGGGAGGAAATGGGGAGTGATTGCTAATGATTTGGAGTTTCTTTTAGGCATCATGAAAATCTTCTAAAGTTGATTGTGGTGATGGTTGTATGACTCTGTGACTATGTTATAAATCATTGAATTGTACTCTTTAACTGGGTGAATTGTTGATATGTGAATTATGTCTCAATAAAGCTGTTATATTAAAAAATAAAAAAAGGCACACCAGAGCCTGCCTTCCAGAGAGCCACCTGTGCCAGCAGTTACTTATCTGCAGTCCGTGGGGGCGACAGGCTAACGAGGAATGCTCACTCCTACAGAGGAGTGCTGTACTCGCCTACACATGGAGTAAACCAGCTCTCTAAAGAGATGACAGCTCATATGATTATTAAAAGGGAGAGCTGCTAAAATAACACAAGGCTCATTAGAAATAAAAGTTGAAGACAAAAGTTTGAGTTTCGGTCCCAGCTCCTCCCTGTCCCCCAAAACCTTACCCCCACCCAGGCTGTAATCACCCCTTTTGATTCTTTTACTATCCAATGTCTGGATTGCCTTTTTCCCTCCAAGTAAGGGCAACTCTCAGTTTGTTTTTTCAGAGTACAACTTGTTTGAATCATAACTTTCTTGGGAGCAGACAGTAACTATAAGAGTTCAAGTTTTCTTCTCCTTGTAAAAACCCTATAATTATCTCTGATTTGCATAAACCATGCCTACTAGCCATTCAATGCCTCTGAATAGTAAAGAACATCTGGCTTCAAGAGGCTCCTCCCTTCCTCTCTCCTATATGTTTGGCTAGTGAGAGGCAATATTTGGACAACAGGATGATCTCATTCTGCCAACAGGATCTGTGTCCTATGTATCCAGGCCGAGTCTGAGCAGCCCTTGGCCCTTGCCATACGTAGGGAAGCATTCTGCATCACGGTCTTGGACAATGAGAAAGAACACCGTTTATAACTGTATTTTCTCCTCCTGTGCCATTTGCTTACTTCCAGTGTAACACTCTTGCTTGCAGATTTCAGCTCAGCCATCTTGTTTTTGCCCCACAGGTTGGGGAGGGAGATGGATGTGAGTGAGAGATTGAATTCATTTTTGTTTTGTTCTTGGCAGGCAGTACATGCCACACCACTACCCTTCCTGCTCTTGTGCGCACACCTACCCTGATGATGCAGCCTTCACTGGACATCAAACCATTTATGTCTTTTCCAGTGGACAGTAGTTCTGCTGTTGGGCTCTTTCCAAATTTTAACACAGTGAGTAAATGCATTTTTGTTTTATTTGTGTCCTCCTCAATCTCTTTTTTCATTACAGTTGTGGATAGGCAATCGATGTAGTCTGTTTTCAAAGTATGTAATTTTAGACTGTATATTGGTTACACTGCTTAGCTGTGTTGTGGAAGATAATGCCTCACCCATGGGAGTTAGTCCAAACAATAGCCAGCATGTTTATTTTACAAATATTTCCACAGGTGACTTCTCGCCTGTTGCTTTGTACAGTTTTGATAGACTTTTCAGTGGCTTGAGAACCCACGCCATTTCCGGGGTGCTGTTCACATGCTCAAGAACACAATTTAGAGTCATCAAGTCACCTTGATTTTCCCCTACTACTAGAAAGTAAAAAGTATCCACTTTATGTCCCTGGTACAGTTTTCTTCGGGAGATATTTTAGATAAAGACTCCTACACAAACAGAATTTTTATTTGGAGGCTATTGTGGATTATGTGAATCTGACTCTATTAGTTAAAAAAAAAAAAAAACCTTATTTTAAAATCTACATATGAATTGTCTGCATGATACTTTGACATTCCCTTTAAAACATAGGGTAAATATTAGTGAATTACCTATAATTACCAATGTTCTTCATTCAGGTCAGCTGACCTTCTTTTATCTGAATGAAAGACATTTTTTAGGTGGGCCAAGTGGAGCGTGACATCTTTCAACAATAGAATTCAGCATAAAATCAGTCTGTAGCCAAATTCTAAGCTTATAGCAAGAGAAAAGGATAAACAGTTCAGGTGATTGCATAAATTATCTGTTCAGTCAATAAATACAGTCAGTTGGGGCATGCTGGTCTGCATGAATGGTACAGCATTATAGAAGCTGCCATAATCAAGAAAAATAGTTGCATTATTAACACCGTCAGACAATGAGCATCTGAAGGACTGCCAAATGTTTCCTTTTGCAAACTTCTCTTCTGTATGAAATGAAAACAGCAAGAGGATTTTCCCTCAAGGATTGTGAATAAAATACGCTGACAGGCCTTCTGCTGTGGCTGAGCATTGCAAGGTAATTAGGGATAGGGGATCAGGCAACTTTTTAAAGAGCACTGGTCTTAGTGAGTAAACAATCGAGTGTTTTTGTCTTCTTTGGGTTTTTCAGAGACAAGTCAGATAGCTGAAAAAAAAAAAAAAGGTCTCAAAAGGTGAGCATCCTTTCTAGTGCGGTGGAGCAGCTCAGTAAGATAAATCACACCTGTCCTGGTCACATGAATCCATCAGCAGTGACCGCCCCAAAGCACCGCATTGTGCCACATCCGGGAGCTTGAACTCAAGTCTATAGTATCTTCTATTGAAACACGGGTGATACATTTCAAACATAATTGAATTAAGACATACTCCGTAAAACATTTACTGGATATTTGTATTTTGATTAATGTGCATTTGGAAGACAGCGTTTGTAGCCACTGCAGAAGTCTAGGCACAGTCGGGAAGTAGCATTGATGATGTGGGTAGGCATAAATGGCTCCTACTGTGGTTCACCTCTCTGTATTTTCTTTTAACACCAGTAATACATAGATACTTATTTCAAAGATTCAAATAAAACGTTAACATTCAAAGCAAAATGTGAAAGTCACCGTTCCCTTCCCCTGCATCGTGCCTATTCCCTTTGCAAGAGGAAAGTGTCCTCAGCACCTGGTATGCATCCTTCCTGCCCCCTTCTAGAAGTATACAGACCTAATAGGAACCCGATCACACTTGTCTTTTCACAACTGCACCACCTGATTAGCACTAGTCTCTAAGTTACTTTTTTCAATTATCAAACTATCCTACATATACCTCTCTGTTCTTAAAGGCTGTAAAACAAAAAAAGAAAGATTATTTTTATAAGGGTTTTTTAAGATAAAAATATGATTTCATAATGGCTTATTAATGTTGTGTTGAGCTGACAGACATACTAACTTACCTTTTTGTTTATTATACATAGCAGTTAACGTTATGACATATTTGAGAAAACCCAAAGAATAATTCTAATAATGAACTTCATTTTTTTTCCTTCTTGGAAGAAAATAAACTTGTAATTTTCAAATGAAAACACTTTTTGGTTAAGGTGAAGAATATAGCAAAGAACTACATTAAAAAATAATCATTTACTCTCTCTCTGTTATTGCCAAGGCACTTATTGGACAGAGAGCCTTTCTGGTAATGTGCTAAAAATTAAAGTCATTGCAAGTGGGCTCCTCTTTCATCTATAAATTTACAGGTAAAAGTCTATGTAAACCAAAACAGGCACCTCTTCTGTTTTGGAATATGACATTTCATTTCATTGGAATCCCATTTCATTTGTGCTATGTTTCTGATGTAACATTATCATAGTCCAATATAAAAACAAGAGGAAACCATTACTTTATTTATATATATATTTTTAAATCCACTTAAAGAAAATAGCAAAACTTTGAACTTCTAACACTTTCAAGATGAATTCATTTATCTTGTAAACAAACGAGTTTGTAGGATCCTGGGGTTACCTATGGTTTTTCACTGAGTTGCAGTTATAATTGCTCTAATTCTTTTCCCTTAGGCTTTGCCATTCAAGTGTCCAACTCACCCAATGGATTTCCTAGGGCGATTTCAAAAAGGTCGTTGTTCACATTTTCCTGCGAAAACATTTTTTTATCACTAATAATAATTACACTATATGATTGTATATTTGTGATGTTTTACGTCCTTCAAAGGACTCAGACCTTGAACATTTTAGTAGACCATAATTATTATTCCTATTGTCTAGAGGAAGAAAGAGAGTAAAAGAACTGAGACTTGAATTAGAATCTTCTGACTTCGAAGCTGATGTTCTGGCTCATCTGTGTCCTTGTCTCTTTTGGTCCACGTCACCTCCCACCTCATTTAGTGTGAACAAAGCTCAATCAGAAATCTTTTGTGCTTTTTTCTGGAAGCATGGTAGACAATTTTCAGCAGAATCATTAACTAGAAAGAGGAAAGGATTTTTTGAATGTGTAAAATAGGCCTCTACAAACAATATTTATGAAGCAGAATATATTGTAAAAACAGTTATAATTCTTGTTAGCAAATTTTAAAAGTATATTCTACTCAGTAGCCCTCTTGTTCTTTGAAAACCAAGGTGAATGCTACTGTAATCACTTTTTTTTTTTTTTTTGGTGAGGAAGATTGGCCACGAGCTAACATCTGTTGCCAATATTCCTCTTTTTTTGCTTGAGGAAGATTGTCCCTGAGCCAACATCTGTGCCAATCTTTCTCTATTTTGTGTGTGAGATGCCACCAGAGCATGACTTGGTGAGTGGTGTGTAGGTCCACACACAGGATCTGAACCCACTAACCTGGGCTGCCAAAGCAGAGCACGCAAACCCAACCACTACACCACCAGGCCAGCCCCTATAATCACTTTTTATTTTTAACCAGGGATGTTATTAGTAAATATAAGAAATATTTCAACTCATAATTGTTATGAGAAGAATGATAGCACTATACATGGAGACCATAGCTGAAAGTTTCCGAAGTTCGAAGTTTTGCTATTTTCTTTAAGTGGATTTAAAAACACATATATAAATTAATAGTTTCCTCTTGTTTTTATAGTGGACTATGATAACGTTATGTCAAAAACATAGCAAGAGTGAAATGGGATTCTGTCTTATTCCAAAATAGAATAGGTGCCTGTTCTATACCAAATTGATGCAAGGAAGAGACAGGCCTCACAGCATTCATTTAGTGGCTGTCTTGCCTTATACTCCACAAGTGACAAAATCTCTCTCCATGTTTACATGTGAAGAATAAGCAAATAATTTGAGATACAGTACAAGCAGAGTTATGGAGAGACATGCTAAAGAAGATGGAGTTTGGATCCTGATAATTTACGGTGAGCTCTTTGTCAAGGATGCGTGTCTGGAGAACGATGATGTTAACTCTGTACTTTAGCAGTTGTACTTTACAGAGGGGCTGTTCTGAGCCACTTGCAGGTGAAAGACTGTGCAAACCAAAACATAAATTTTTAAAGATCTCAATCTTTATATCTAACGCTTAATAGGCTTCTCTGACTGGCTACCCACTAATGCTCACTTCCCCACCTTCAACTATTTGTCATTCAGGGCTCAACATACATGTCATCTCCTTCACAGGAAGTCTTCTGTGACTCTTCAAGTCTGAATTAAGAGGCTGTCCTCTATATTTCCAAAGTGCTCCAAGATTACCTCCATTATAGCAGTTGTCACACCACAGTCTAATTACTGGATTATCGGTCTTCATTAGAATGTCAGACCCTTGAGGACAGAGGCTATATATTGTTCATCTTTGTATGCTTGGTGTCTGGCACAGGTGCTTAATAAAACTTTTTTGAAGGAAGGAAGGGAGGAAGGGAAAAGAGACAGAGGAAAGGGCTCCAGTTCCTTGGTTTGCAATGTTCAGGCTCCTCTCTCCCACCAAGGGAATATCAACATTTCTGAGCCCCTTCTGTGTACGAGGTGATGAGCCCGGGTGTTTACTTTTATATTTATTTTCCAAAAAACCATCATCCTTTTTTAATCTAAAGGTAATAATTAGTTATAAGCTTTCCTCTATAGTTCCGTCTTTCTCTGGGTGGGCAGTGTGGAAACTTTGCAAGTGTCTGCTACATTCCTTGTCCTCGGCTCTAGTCTTAAGAAGATTTAGTTAAAAGACAAAGTCACTAGTTACTGAATTTTATTGAAAACATAATATATGCGCTAAAGAGTACTGGGTTTGGAGAAGAGGATAAACAAAATAAATAAAACAAAATTACCCTACTGCCCAAGAAACATAGAGGAAATAGAATAAATAGATTAGAAAAGACAAGATAATAAAAACCATAGGCAAAGTGGAAATAGTTACTGAACTTTATAGTGTTCAAGAAAGGACAAAAAGAGTGAATATTTTTGTATCCCAGTAGAGCTATTTTCATTATTTTGTTATTCACTTTATTTAAATTTGTCAAATGCTCCATGATCATCCTTTAATTATTGTACATGTTTTGGTAGCTGCCAAAATATA